ATATATATATATGAAAGCATGTGAGAGGTGCAACTTCAATTTGGTTATACCAACTTGAGATAATGCATTGAATGAAAGTAAAAAAGACAGCTAGTTAACAGTGAAGTTGGTCTCTTCATGACGCCCCACAACGACTTCTCGGACAATTATTAATTTGTCTTGAGGTTTGAAATTATTTTTGCTTTGTTGAAGACGCTAAATGATGGCTTCCATTTCAACAATTTTCTCAAGGGCCGTGACTCGATTCCTTTCGTTTGAAGTACTTCAAAGATTAATTAAATGTTTGCATTAGTTATACAATGATTATATTATTAATTATGCAGGATTTTATCAAAAGCTTTTATTCTTTAGACTTTAAGTTTTTTGAACTATAAATTTCAAAAATCTTCCTTTCTTCCTAAATTTTATAATGAGTCAAACAATGTCACATTGATAAGTTAGTAATTCCAGTATAACTAGTACGGGAATCTAACAATAAAATAAAAATATGTGTACAAGGATAAGAGTAAATAACAATAAATGTTCTTGTAGTAAACAATCCATACATGACAATTTCATGTATTATTCATCATTGCATAATAATTAATGCATTATTAGCAGGGGCGGATCCAGTAAACCCTATGGGTTCAACCTTTAAAATTTTTAACATATAACTCATTATATTTTTAAAGTTGTGGATTCAAATCTATTATTTCTTGTAATTTTAGTAAATTTTACACATAAATTTATGCTCCGCATCGAAAGCCGTCACCAATACGCTACATACGCCCCTGATTATTAGTTTTCCCATAATAATTCATATGTTATTATTCACCGTAAAAATAATTCATACATTGTAATCTTGCATAGCTTTATGGTAAACTAAACGATCCAAGTTGGAAGAGAACTTGTCAAAACTCAAAACAGCGAATTTGAGAAAGAACTGGAACAGGAAATGCAACTAATGGCAAGCGTTGAATTTGAAAAATATCAGTACAGAGAAATTGTATGATTTTAGCTTATATACATCGCTAATATAAATAAAATTTTACTATTTTTACCAAGTTACTAATCATGTTTATTATATGGAGATTTATTTGCAATTATAGTAATGTGATTTTCTCATCTTATTGTACAGTCTTTCCTGTAGCCAATCTGACCTTTTGGTGCAAATTTAACTTTTCTCTTTCCAACTTGAGCTAATGCATTGATTGAAAGAGAAAGGACAGAGGAGTGAACAGTGAACTTGGTTTATTCATGATTTGAAACTATTTTGCTTTTATTAAAATGCTAAATGATGATTCCTATTCCAGCCTTTTACCGTAACAATAAGTAATTTTTCATAACAAGTTTAATATGATATCCTCGAACATAGAGTAATAGTATGTTATAAGATAAATAAAAGATTATTTACGCGGTCATATATATAATTTAAATCCAACTCTAATTAAGTGTGACTCAGACTTTAACTCTAGTGCACGCCAGCCCAGACATTCATTGAGTGGGATGGAAATCAAAGTAGACTTCCTTTTCATCAGAAGTGGCCAAAAATATGGTCCCAGTGTATTCAAGATTGCCCCCATCCTGAAGATTCAAGGATTCCAACTTTTGTACTATATGTTTTCTCAACAAATTTGTTTGTAGTCTAGAACTAACTTGTTGGGTTCAATCAGTCCGAAAATATTTTTAATATGATGTGATATTGCCCGCTTTACGTTAAATTCATACGATTTTTTTCAAAAGGTCTTACATTATTAAGAGATCTCTACACTTTATATGTATGAGTATTTTCATATATACTTACTTTTGAGGCCACCATTAAAGTTATATACACATTGCACTAAATTTTGTAAAGTGTACCTGCTCAGATCTGAAGTAGTTCAACCTCTTCAATGTAACTTCAGAAATCAAATATGAAGTTCTTCTATCTTTCAAATGTAACTTCAGAAATTCTAATCTTAAGTAGGTCAATATCTTCAATGCAACTTCAGATTTCAAATCTAACGTTCTTCTATCTTTCAAATACAACTTCAGAAATTCGAATCTTAAGTAGTTAAATTTCTTCAATGCAACTTCAAATTTCGAAACTTAAGTTCCGAAAATAAACTTGTTCTTTGAATTATAACAATCCAACGCCTAAATCTACTTCAAATGAGAATTTGGATAACTTTCAAATATCATAAAGCACAAATCCAGTCATCAAATTGTCAAAACAACAACAAATTTAACAAACTCATTTTGCAACTGAGAAAATGAAGAAGAAAATGAAGAAGAAGAAGAAGAAGAATAAGAAGAAGAAGAAGAAGAAGAAGAAGAAGAGAAGAAGAAGAAGAAGAAGAAGAAGAAACTCTAAGTACAAAGAAGAAGAAAGCAGCAACGAAGAAGAAGAGAAACGTATATGTATTTGAAGTTATCCAAAAATCAGGTATCAGTCATTTTTTTTAAAAATAGATACAAATTTAGTGGGTGGCGCAAAACTGGATGCCACATATTTTACTTGTATGCAGTCTCATATTTTCTTCAGCTGTGGGACTTTGATCGCACACCCGATAATTTCCCCTATCGAACTAAGTCCATGTGGCCAACTACCACGATGCCTCTCCCTCGCACTAAGTTTCACATGACCCATTACCACGATCCACGGGTCAATTTTTGAGATTTTTTTGCCACCAACATCGTTAGAATATTTATGCAACCAAAGACCCAACCAGCTTTTTCTTGTCTGTGTGTATCTCTAAGCTCGTAAGGAGAAGTAAACTAGGCCACACATTATCACTCTGCGATCTTCATACTCATGCCGTCGAACTTGGGCTATGATAACCGTTGTTGGACTAAAGGTACTTGTACTATGGTATTATATTGTCCGTTTTAGATCAAAGCCGTACGATTTTTCGCAAACGTCTTCATACCATTAAGAGATTCATACACCTTATATGCAGATTTTTATTGTTTTAAGTTACTAATGCAGGACTTTGTTCGCCGATCCACTAATCGCCTCCTCGAACTAAGTTTCACGCGATCTAGCACCACTATCCACGAGTCTTTCCCCCGAACCAAGTTCTATGTGGCCTATCACCACAATTTACGGGTCAATTTCTGAATCATTGTGTGTCACTCACTTCGTCAGAGTATTTTACGGCAATCGAAGCCTCTAATTAGCTTTTCTTGTGTGCGCGTCTCCTAGCTCATAAGGGTAAGCAACCCGAGCCCAACACCATCACTCATCCACCACCATACTTGTCCCATCGAACTTGGACTCAGACACCAGTTGTTGGGGTAAACCAGCCCGAAGATACTCTAAACATGGTTGATATTTTCCACTTTAGGCCAAGGTCGTTCAGTCTTCTCTAAAAGGTCTCACACCATTGAAAGATCCTTATACCTTATATGTAGGCCCCAATCTTTTTAGCTAATAATGTGGGACTCTATTCGCAGGCCCAACAGAACCAATAAGTGTCTGAATGAGTTAATTTCTAACAATTCAAATTTGTAATTCTCAAAATAATATTTCTTTATGTGCGGAATGTGTACAATGACGAATCTAGACAGGACGCAGTGGATCGACAAAGCTGATGGAGTCTACAATACATACATACATACATACATACATACATACGGTTGTGCGTGAAAATTGAGACGTATCTAAATAGAATCCACTAAGAGGGTGTTTGGCTAATAAGCACTTTTTGGCTTATCTACGCGTTTGGTAAAATTAAAAGTGCTTATAAGTTAAGTGCTTATAAGCCAAAAATAAGCCAAAAGCCATAAGTTGTTCTCCCCCAACTTATCAAATTTTAGCTTATAAGCACTTTAAGTTTGACCAAAATATTTACTATTCTACCCCTAAAATACTTCTTTTTAAAACAAAACTCTTTGTATACCTAGTTCTTCAGCTGTTTATTATTAATTTCAGCACTTTTATCCAAACACATAGCTGCTTATTTTTTAAATCAGCTTCAGCACTTAAAAGTGCTTTTCAGCACGTAATGCTTATCAGCTATTCTAAATCAGCTAAGCCATACGGGCTCTAACTCTAAATTCTGGGTCATTCACTCAATGTATAGGATCACTACATATGGTGAAAACATAGAATGCCCCACCTCACGTTCTTTTGCTTCTCTATGAACCTATAGCTAGAAATCTTAATTATTGAAAGTGATTGAAATGGAATCCTTGGCCGAATTATTGCAGCATTCTTTTGACAAAAATAAAAATTGAACAGGAAAGATGACAAAAAGGAAGGCTTTACTAAAGCACAACATTTTTTGTACACAAACATAGTGGGACTAATTTAATCTTAACTACTAGTGCTACTGCTTCAAGACAGGTAGAAGGGAGAGAGAGAGAGAAAGAGAAAGAGAGAGAATGAAGTTCTTGTTCCAATGTCCATGTTGTTCTTGTTTCTGCTTCATGAAGCCACAGAAAGGCAAACCAAAAGCTAAAGTGGAAGAAGCCAAACCTAAAGATAAGAAGGTGGAAGAAGCTAAACCTAAGGAAAAGAAGGTGGAAGAAGCCAAACCAAAAGAAAAGAAGGTGGAAGAAGCCAAACCAAAAGAGAAGGAAGAAAGCAAACCAGAATAATGATAGTAGAGGCAATGGCAAATGCAGCTATATTATTCTACTAGAAGTATTGTTCTTCATTTCCTTTACTGCTTGTTATAATTTTTATGGTGTTTCCAATTTCCATCCTTATGGTGTGCAATCTTTAACACTTCTTTGGAAAATGCTAGTACTATTTCTCCTCCTAATGTATTTTTATAAGAAAATAATTGCACTTTATTCACTCCGAAAGGCAAAAGTAGTACTTTTGTTGCTTGAAGGGTGCTCGTACTTGAGCAACTCACTCTTGTCTACTTGTGTTGCTTGGATTCTTAAAAAATATCACTCCTAACTTTTGGAGGATCCTACACACAATTTTGAAGGATACTACATTGAGTCAGCAGCTATTTCAGTTTTAACTAAGATAGATAATATGAAGATTGACTAGGGGGCATATTCTATTCAAAGTGTGTTTTATTGAAAATTCGGAGTTTTAAGTTCCTCTTTAGTCAGTGTAGACAGTAGATACAAATGCCATCTGCATTAAACAAGCATCTTGAACAAGTATACTGTAGTCTTTTAAAAAGTTGATTAGATAAGATCTGAAAACACATAATCCTTTATCACTTTATGTGGATCTTGGAGTGTATGATATATAAGCTGAATTCCTATTCATTGATAGTCTATTTCCTTTTTTGGGTCTGTGTAAATAAAACGAATTCGTTTTTCCCTTTACCCTCCCCCCTCTTACTGAGACTACAAAACATTTTTGTGAATTATAGCCAGTGCTGAGTATATAAGTTAGTGATATCAAATCCAGAGGTTAATCGTACTCCTCTGCCAATTCTATGTAAGGCAGGAAAGCAATAGTGAGGATGGCATTTTCTTTATGATTAATAGAAAATGAAAATTGATCAAACCAAACTTGATAAACGATATGATTCACAGAAGGTGACAATTTTTGTCACTGATTGATTGTCGCAATTAAGATTATACTTATGTCATGGGCTGCATTTGCCCACGACTCCTTGATCGAGCCTTGGCAGACCTCCCAACCCCTAGTGCCATGGATGGCCACAGGGCAGAGACAGAGTGCGGGATGCGGGTTCGGGCCAAACCCAATAGTTTTTGTTCAAATTATGTATTTGTCTTTAGAAATTTATTGAATATATACTACTTATTAATTTACAACCCAGTAATATAAAAGAATTACAACCTCAAACTCATAAGATTCAAATTCTGTTCGCTCCGCCTCTGTGGACGGCCTCGTGACCTTGGCCGGATATGCTTATGTGGCCCAACCAGCAGCCTGAGCTCGCGCCCAACGGGCAATGCTCACATTGCCCGTCAGCGAGCAACGACCTCAATGCCCATGTGCAGCGTGCACTCACTAAAGCTAAAAATAAGGACCCGTTCCCTCCAAGTGCCACACACCATCCCTTGCGAAACACATTGCCATGATACTGAACAAGTTGCTTGAATCCTTTGTACAAGCCTAGGTATAGTTTGACGTAAATATAGATTAGTTTTACTTCATATGTTTATTATATCTTTCAATATTTACTTATGTCATGTCTTGTTGCTTAGGCTTACCTTTTTACAGGATTTATAGGGGTATAATAGTCGAAGTTTCAACAATCACTCAAATCTCTGTGATGGTGTTTTCACCCACCTAGTATCACATTAGATTTTTTGCAATCGTTGCTCTTTAAATTAGTGTAAATTCTTCTAAATTGAAAAGAACAAATAAAATAAGGGATTTTTTCATTCCTATACACTATTGGAAACTTTATTACCCTAAATGTTCATGTTTAGTAAATTACCCTACCTACACAAGTATTGTTTACAAAATATATACATTTCACCTTAAAAGGCCCCCAATCCATTATTAGTGCCTTCAATTAAGGGATTTAGTTACACCCTTCACCTTTTTTTTAATCTTCTTCACTAGATCACTGATCACGCCCAACTATGCCTTATAAAAAGGACTAAGCGGTCGCTGCAAATATAATCCGGTTTACAAGTCCGGAGTCGAATCCCACAGAGAACTAAGGTTTAGCTACAGCTGTTCACTATCACCAAGAAGACAAGCTTGAACGAATCCTAACTTATAGATATTAAGATTCTTCTGTTTAACTAATTAACTAACAAATTAAAATAGTAAATTAACAACTAACGATACTGAGGGTTAGAGAAAAGATTAAGGAGGTCTAGAGTTATGATTTCCCCTATTGTCGGAATCCTTCCCGCTATGTCTTCTATAATTTCGCCTAAGTATTCTCTACCGATCATGAGCACTCTTATTACCGTAAATCTCTCCCGAGTAATTACGATAATTTACTAGACGCACTCTCCCGAGCTACGCTAGCTGGCTTTTAATACAGCTCACTTCAGATTGCACCCAAGGCTTCGCTATCCCTAATCCCGCCTTTAAACCCTCGGTTATTGATCCCTCATATACTTTGGGAGTGGTGTTGTTCAACAATTACCTAAATATGCACTCTCTCCCGAGTTATGCATACTAAATAGGCACAGCTAATTGAGAGCTCTTCAACCAACCACAATATAAACGTAGTTGAACAAATAGAGAAAAGGCTATGGCTCAATTATATAAAAACATAACAAGAATGTATCCTACAAAAGGTTCTATCAAAACTCTAGATAACAAATTAGCTATTCATAATAGTATGTAAAACTACAATACTAAAAGTCATAACCAACAATGAAAAATAGGAAGAGGAAGGAAAAAACTCGTAGAAGAATTCTCCGCCTTGCTCCCAATGTGTTCTTGCCTCCAAGGGTGTTGTCTAACCCTAAAGTAGTGTCTCTCCGCCTCCTTAGGTCTAATTTGTGTCCAAAATATGTCCTCTTCTTATTCTTGGCCGGCCTCCTTTGTTTAATATAGGGTTTAGGACTTAAAATCCCATGTTTTGCACTTTAGTCCCTGAAATTTTCGCTTCCTGCCGCGGTTTTGCCGCGGTCACGGTGGAACTGCGGCCAAACATGCCCTCTGATTCTTCAGTTGTTCGCGACCATCTTCTACCGCGGTTCTGCCACGATCGCGGCAAAACCGCAGTTTTTCATCCTGTTCCGTTTGGAATTTGGAAAAACGTAAAATATGAAAGTTTTAGCCCTTTGAGTTAGCTTTCCAACCATATATTCTGGAGCCCAAATGGAGTTCTGAGCAAAAAGTTATGTCTATTTTACTAGACAGTGCGCAATATGCCTCCTCAAGTCTTCGTTCGTACTTAATTATAAAATTTGACCTCCGAACACGATCCCGGCTTAATTCCTTGAGCTTTTACTCAGACTTCAAAGCTTCAAATCACTTAAATTCATTCCATAACATCTATATAGCTCGGAATCACACCTACAAGGCATAAAACACACAATTAGTGCAAAACACTAGCGATTAAAGCGCAAACTCAATTAAAGTGCAGTAAATTCGAGTGTAATAAGCGACTAAAATATGCAATTATAGCCTATCATCAACACCCCACACTTAAACCATTGTTCGTCCTCGAGCAATCAAACTCCACTTTTTTTATAGACACGACCTTTTTAAACAATTCTCCTAACTCATCACACCAAGAGTATTTAAAATAGACTAAGCACAAAAGCGTAACATCTTCACCTCAAGATTTGACTCACAAGTACCACACGTTATTCACAACTCACCCACTTACTCTAATATAGAGGTGACTGACATTACCTTTCCTTCATGAATCAAGTGCCCTCACACAACAAAAGAGAGCAGTTCCACACAATAAAATTTACGAGCACTTAGGAACTCAAGATAGAAAGAATTCACTCACTCTCAGAAATAACATTCATATGCCACAAAAGATGCACCATAAGCTTGCCCGTAGTGTACTACTCCACTAATCGAGCTCATTCAATCTTGGATCAATTAGGACTTTATTTGGTTGTAATGTAGGCTACGGGACGGGTAGGATACATTTAGATATAAGGGTGACTACACCTCCCTAAGCACTTTAATATATATACTTTAACATTCAAACCCCATACTTATGTCAAACCAAACTCCACCTTCACATCAATGTATATTACCTCATACTTCTTTAAGCACACTTACATCAAGAGCCACCACTTATCAAGGATTTTCTTTTTTTAACAACAATCCAGCTATTTTTTTTAAATTCAAGTAGCTTTTACTTTTTCAAAACAGTGCACCTTTCTCCTTATTTCATTAGTTCCACTCAAAAGCCAAACCAACCACCCCACACTTTAACTTTTATAAAGTTCATAAATAATTCAAGTGCTCATGAGAGGTTACAATGGTTCAAATAGATGGTTAATTCGAACAAATGGGTAAGGCTTGTAATGTGGTTGCCAAAGAAACAGGATTACAGACTCAAAGGGGTTAACTACGATACATAATAATTAGGCGGGTAAAATATACATATCTGGCTCAACAAGATAACGGCTATATCACTTCCAAGACTGAACAACACTACTATTTCGCTTTGAGAACACACGGGGCAAGTTCTAGGCATCAAATGCACTGCACATAATATCACAAAACCTTACACACACATGGCACATAGCTCACTCAGGATTGGATTCATCAAGACACCCTAGTCAGAGCAGTTAAGCAAATTTAAGATCATACAATTTAAGGTACTTATACAAGAGTCAAAAACTGAGCCTAAGCGTCACAGCCAAAGTACTCACTATTCTCAAGGCATAACAAAGTCAAGAGATATTGCTTCATTTCAAAATAAAACACAATGGCTCATATTCCCAAAAAAAACTAACTACACCCGGTTCAAATAAAACCCTTGGAAAAGAATCGTGGTTTAAAGAAAAATCAAGGGGTAATTGCTACACTACCTAACAAAACAAAAAATCTTTTTGGTATTTTCTTTAGACTTACTTCCCTCAAGAAAACTGTCTAGAAGATCCGTCATCAGGAAAAGTCAAATCTTTAAAAAAAAAAAAAACACAGCTAATGTAGCATGAAAAACAACCCAGACAATCTCCTCACCCCACACTTAAAATTGTGCATTGTCCCCAATGCACATCCATACATACAAGAAGGTAAAAGAAACTCCCTGGTAGGCCAAAGGCCGAAGCACTAGCAGTTCATGGGGTACTCAGACTTCTCCCAAGCTTGATCCTTCGTGTGGGTACCTCACACTTAGTTCCAACCATTTGGTTTGCTGATGCATCCTTCCAATACCTTTGCTTTCCATGCTCCTAGAAAATAAAAAAATTGACACTACAAAAATAATACAATTAAAAAAAATAAAAATAAAAAATAAATAAAAGAAAGAAATAAAGCTGGGTTGCCTCCCAACAAGCGCTTGATTTAACGTCGTGGCACGACGCGAATCACTTTTTGCCTCCACCTC